CTCACTGAGAGCTCTTTCCAGCTGTTACTGAAGAGTGAATACAACTATGCCTTAAAGAACCCACGGTGCTTTTCAAATGACGTGTGTGTGTTTGATGTGATAGTGAGTCCACCGGTTTCCTTCACCTGCGTACACCAGATTAATTCTGTTGTGAACCGTCAGAGTGAGACCTACACATACAGCCTGTCAGGTAAAATATACTGAAACTACTGTATAATTTAAAAGTAGCTCTGTTTTGCTGGCATGTTGGACATGTATGTCAATATAATCTAAACACTTTAAAATATAGATTTTTTTTCTTGTCCTGTTGAGTATTTAATGAGGTTTCCTTGTAATGGCTTAAGAAGCAGTACTTGCATAGGCTCATTATTTCATGTTCATTAATTTATTATTAAATTATTTATTAAGTTCACACCCAGCTTTCAGTATCATACTGTATGTGGCCTGTGTGTCTCAAAACATGTAACTGTATATTTGTTCAGTACATACAGTACATGTCGCCTGTGTTTTCTTTCAGATTTTGCTGCAGATACTCATTGCTTGGATCATCATTATGAAGGAGTATCTTCATTCTACATCACCTTTTTCTCCTTCATTGCTGTTGGTCTCTTCATCATGACTGCAGCAGTGATCGTGACCACCGTTAAGAGCAAAGCTAAAGGTGTGTGTTTCATCCAAACAACTCATTTTCATGTCTAATATTCAAATGCACACATAAAACTATACAAAATTTGTTATAGCATCTGGTTTTAAATAACGGCTACAAGCTCCAAAGAACAAGCAAACAGATCACAATAGAGTTAAAGTAACACCTAGACCTCACTTGCTCCTAACATGTGACTCTGATTCTGCTGCTAGATGAGTTTTCACAAGTTTAGTGTGTTTTGCCACATTTATGCTGCTCTACACAACACAGTTAGCACACTGTGCCCTCAGCAGAATGCATTTGTTTCAACAGGTTCCATCAATACTGGCACAGATAATGACTATACTGATGTATAAGAGGACGTCAGAGTTTCTAAACAGAAAAGAATGGACAACCAATCAATTAATCAATTCAGATTGATCAAATGATTTTCTGCATGCTGAACTGTAATACTCTTTCAAAATCATAACAAAATTCTCTCAACAAAGTAAAATAATGATTTCATTTATATATTTACATTTAATCTACATCATATTTTAATCACAATGTAAAAAAACAAAACATTTTACTATGCTGGTTTATTCTTGAAATCAGGTATTGCTTTCTCCTCATTTGTAATTTTGATGAAATTGTGTGCAAAATGAATTAATACATTTTATATGCATCCTATGCATTTTACATTAATAAATATTTTGTTCTTCTACATGTCTTTACATATTTACATTTTCTATGCTTTTTACAAGATTATTATTATTATTATTATTATTATTATTATTATAACTAAAGTCATTCACTGCAGAGGATCCATTGGTGAGCAAGTGATGTAATGCTAAATTTTTCCAAATCTGTTTTGATGAAGAAACAAACTCATGTACATCGACCTCAGGACGACCTGAGGTTGAGTAAATTTTCAACAAATGTAATTTTTGGGTGAACTATTCCTTTAAGATATTATAATAATGGCTGCCAAAAATGTTAACTTCATATTAGACTCATATAAGACAGAGACATTACTTAATTTGGACCCAAAGCCTGTACACAGAAGCTCTTAGAATACAGTTTGCATCCAGATAGATGTACTGTTACTTTTTTCTCTATACAGTCAAAGACCTGGGTGTTATATTAGAAAACAACTTGACTTTTGAAAATTGTTATAAAACAACTACAATCAGATCAAACTTGAATTTTAATCAAACTGCAAACTCAAAACGGCCTGAGAGCAGTTTCATTGGTTTCAATGGAGACAATAATTTCTACAGTTCAGACTAAATTTATATTGCTGTTAACACACAAAATATTGATGTATAAGAGAAAAACTAATCATACATGTATTTCTATGTTCATTCATGACAGATTTTCAACAATGACTACATGGATGTCTAAAATAATATGGCAGGTTTCTAATGAGGGAAAAAACATACATAAATGGAAAATAATTATCATCTGACAAATGATTAGTCATTCAGAGAAAAAAAATTGTTTCTTTTTGAATGATGTTCATTTTGGACCTCTGAATTTCGGTTACTACATTGTATTACTTTAGTATAAAGTATTAGAGTATCCATCCATTCGATTTATTTGAAAGCGGGAAAAAACATACATAAATGGAAAATAATTATCATCTGACAAATGATTAGTCATTCCGAGAAAAAAAATTGTTTCTTTTTGAATTATGTTCATTTTGGACCTCTGAATTTCGGTTACTACATTTTATTACTTTAGTATAAAGTATTAGAGTATCCATCCATTCAATTTATTTGAAAGCGAAAGTGTTACTATTAAATCATATGACAATGACATGCAAAACAAATGGTTTTTGTTTATTTATTTATTTTTTCCTGCTATGGCTTTTTTTAATCTACATCCAGTAGGGGGCAGCTGTGGTTTGCTATTATTTGAGTTTTGAATTGAGTTTGAATTTTCTGTCTCTCAGATGTAGTTCATGTAGTTGCAGCAGCTGAAAAGGGGAAGGGGAATATGGAAATTCTTATGATTAATTAATTGCTTAATTCCTAGTTTATGCTCTCAAAATAATATGCTTATACTGCAACCTGAAAAGGTATGTGTTATAATTCCAGTAGCCATAGTAGTCATACTAAGGTAGGCAGGGCCGTTTCTAGCCAATTCCTAGGCGACCGCCTAGCTCGCCTATGCCTAGAAACGGCCCTGAAGGTAGGGCTGTGCAATATATCGAAATTATCGAAATATCACAAACGTTGCATATCACTACAGCTTGCAATATTGGGGGCAATGAACAAAAGACAAAGAGAAAATCACTCACTGCTCTTACCTAAAAACTTTTGTAGCTTAAACAAGAATCAGTGCATATGTTCAGAAGTTGTTGTAGGGGTGCTTTCTTCTCACAAAAAGTGAAACATGTATGCTACTTATATTAGAATTAGGGATACAACGATACCATTTTTTCAGAACCGATCCTATCCGATACAACCCTCTACATTGCGAGTAAATCACTCGCATATGCGACTAAATCTTCACTCCATGTCTGAATGAGACGCACTCTCTGACAGCAGGTGGCGCCTATGAACAGGGTTGCCAGGTTTCCGCAATAAAACTAGTCCAATCGCGTTTCAAGGAGGGCTCCCCTGTAAAAATCGCATTCCGGGGGTAAAATACACGTTTTTCAGCGGGGATCTTCAAGTAAAATTCACATTCCAGGGACTAAATATCACATTATTGGCTTTAAAAAAAAATTCATATTAAATCGCAATCGAAATATTGGTAAAAAAAAAATCGCAATTAGATTATTTTCCAAAATCGTTCAGTCCTAATGGTTTCACATCACAGAATGAGGCAGAAATCATTCTTTTATAGTATTATTCTTCTATACAGTGATAAAGGCTATGTCGATTAGCACTGCATTATAAATTTACTATGCATTATATATTCTTATAAAAATACCTGAGATGGCTTGAAAAACACAGATAAACCATATTGTTGAAATCATGTGTTTACTGTCTTCAAGTTTCAAGTTTAATCAAGTAGTAGACCTAAGGTTTTATTATTTTATGCAATTGGTATAATTTTTTTATAAGCCTATGATGGGTAAGTTTTACTTTTAGGTGTTTGTGTTTCTGAGGCTCTCAAGACTGCATGCAGCTATCACTTGTAGCCAGAAACAGTGGTGAATGGTACTATATTTATAGCATCATTGATATAAGGCTCGAAATTTACTTTTTTACTTGGTAGCACTGGTGCTCCCAACTTCAAAAAGTTAGGAGCACCAGCAAAAATTTAGGAGCACTCACCAAAAATGTATGAGCATCACAACTACAAATTATATATTAACAGATTTTATCCTTACATTCTTAACTTTAATGCAGATTTTATATTGGTTAATATTAGCTGTCAATCACTCAGTCACTGCTTTCACCTAACTACCGCAAGAAAAAGAAAGGGCTGAAGAAGAGAGAAAATGAAAAGAACACTGACAGATTTCTTTTGCAAACAACCTAAAGTTAAGTTCTTCTTTGGCAAGTGTTAGGATGGTGTATGCGGTGTTAAATTTTACATTCAGCTCTGCCAGTTGCACCGAACGGCTGGCAGCTAGGGGTGTGCGATATTGACAAAAAATTATATCTCTATATTTTCTGGTATTTTATCGATAACAATAATTTGACTGAGTGTTACTGTGCTGATATCTTAAGGACTACAGTGGACAGCTGACTTCTTCATACTCTGTGTGGTGGTCAGTTCACAGCAGTGACAGAAATTAATCTTTTCCAATAAGTTTAAATAGATTTTTACCTTTTATGGTAATTTTTACCTTAAAGCCATTTTTTCTAAAAGTGTGCATTATCATGAGAGTCAAATTCTTATATTTAATCAGTCAATTATAATAAGATACTTGGGCTGTTATCAAGCAAATGAGAGCACCGTAACTTAATTTGAGCGATCTAAAACAAAGTCAAAGAGCGGTAACTGATGATACTGTGTTCTGCTTTGGTTTCTCCTGGGCTTTTCTCCAAGATTCTTATACACATGATAAAGGAGGTCATATATATCCCAAAATTATCAATAACTAATTTCAACCAAAAACGAAGTTATGGTGTTTTGTCTTTGCACGGCAGCACTGCTGTCACCATAGACGGGCGTGGTTTCAGCAACTAGCGCCTCAGCTTCACCCACGTCCCGCCTTTTTGCCCATTTTCGATTATCCGGGAGTGACGCGCTGCCAAGATGGTGGCGGTCGACTCCGCCCACTTTAGGCTTCAAAAATGCTCTTCTGAACCCTACGAATGACGTCACGGACACTACGTCCATGTTTTTTTTACAGTTTATGGTTCAGAGTAGCAGTGAAGCTCCTCCCCCTCTGCTCTGCTCTCTCTCTCTCTCTCTCTCTCTCTGTCTGGATCTGGGCTAGTGTTTGGTGGCAGCGTTTCTCTTCACTGCAGGGGCAGCTTCATTCTCTCCTCCAGGATGTCGGGCCTTCTGACCACCTCTCTTCTGCTCTTCCTCTCCCTGACGCTGTTCCAGACTCCCACACCAGAAGCAAAGGTAAAGCAAACACCACACCAGACCCTCATCATGTGTGTTTGCTAAGACTAAGTGCTTAATTCACTCTGATTTCTCTATAGCTACATTTTAACCTGCATGTTTTCTTCCTTTTTATCTCTATGCTGCTAGGTTTGCGTTTGGTGCTAATTGCCAATTTCATTGTGTTTAGGGGCACTTTTCTATTTCATTTCAAGTGTTTGTATATGAATCATTGCACATGGCTCATAGTGAATATGTGAAAGTACACAATGTACTATTTAGGTGCTTTTCATATATGTTATGCTTGGCTGCGTGTTAATTTCTGCTAAACTGATATGTCACAGAGAGCAATGAGATAAGTCGAGCCAGATGAAATAGGGCGTACTAATCATCATTGCCTGGCAACAACAGAGCACATATCAACAGGGCTTTACTGTCGAATACTATCCTGATTAAATTCTGGAAATTTCTCAGAAAGGCAGTGCGCAGAACAAAGAGCTCTTGCAAACAAGCCAAGATCACATTAAACATTACATGCATCTTTCAGCTGGAGAGATCCATGTTATAACAGATGATGTGTCTTGTGTACTTGTTGACTGTTCTATTGCTGATGAAAGCATTTTGTTATGAGGTTTTAACTCAAAAATATTCTATTGAATTTAAAAAAAAAATCTTATTTGCAACAAGCATTCAAAAAAGGTAATTCATGTTTAGAATGTTTAGAATCAGTAATTATTCTAAGGCGTTGATATGATGTTTGGAAAGTGTTATAGTGCATTGCTATCAATTTGCCAAGGCAACAGGGCCTGTGATATACTGGTCTCTATCCTTTTATCATAAAAATGAGAGTTCAGCAGTACTGATGCATTGGAGAGATATGTGGACACTGGACAGCTGATATAAAGAGCTGTGAATTCAAGTAACTAGGCTGTAAGACATGAAAGAGCATGTGTAGCAGTCATTAGTGTGCGCTCATGTTTTCAGCACCACGGACAGCAGCTGTCACTGAAACACAGTCATGTTGAGCTGAATATAAACACTACAGTGATTTTGGGAAAGTGTGAAGGATTAGGGGCCATATCTGAAGGACAACACGGGATAAAATCAATAGGAGAGGAAGCACAATCTCATTAGCAGAACAAACAGCCGCTCTTTCACTCCAAGCGGAGGAGGAACGCTGCCGTGGCAACAGCTTTCAGAGAGCACTCTCAGTTTTCTTCCATCCACCCATTTATACAGTAAAAAAATTGTCAGTTAACCTAAAATCTAAATTAACAAATTATTCAAATTAAATAAAGATTTAAAATGACTCTATATGTGAATATATTGGGTTCAGTGTAATTTTAGTATTATTTATATAATATTCAATATTTTTAATTGGCAATTAATTTGATATTTTCCGTTTGCATTTTAAATTTAGTCATCTTGTTACATGCTTTTGTTATTTTATTAGTTATTTATTAGTTTTTTTTTAAAATCTATTTAGTTTTTTCCAGTTTTAGTTTTAGTAATTATTATTAGTATATTAGTATTATGTCAGTTAGCTTCCATGGCAACATCTCTAATTATGTTTTTTTTTATATTTATAATTTATTTTATTTCAGCCTGATTTCAATTACAAAAACTTTTTAACAGTTTTAGTTAATGTTAACATTTTGATTGGATTTTTTTAAAGGTTTTTAGGTTTAAGTTTTTCATCTAATATTTTTTATTTTATTTTTATATCAATTACTAAATTATTTTTAATAACAAACAACAATAATAACACTGATTGGATTCAGTTTGTTTTATGTTGGTTTTTGATGTCTTTTTTTATTATTTCAGCTTTTTAAATAACCGAAAACATTTTTAATAGTTTTTGTTATAACAACACTGATTGGATTACACTTAATCTATACACTTAAACTGTAAAAACGTTTTATCGTAAACTGTTTTTTACACTTGCCATTGATTTTTTAATATAGAAGTGGGTGCATGAAGCATCTTTTTCAGTATCTTTATTAATTAAGTCCAAACCCATGAAGTATATTGATAATCACTAATATATTTTATAATGACACACACAACTAGATACAAATTGATGTGACAAATAGGCCTGTCGCAATAATCAATATATCGACTTATCGCGCAATATATGTACATGACCTCAATAATTTTTGGTGATGCAATATATCGCCCATTATATTTATTTAAAAATTAATGTCACCATGTTTTGTACGTTCCACTTGCGCCTGTGTCGTACATAACGTGTAGTCATGAGGTGCTAGTTCAAATTTAAAAAATGCTTCTACAAAAAAAGTTTCATCAGCAGATATGGCCTTGTTTAGTGATCTGTGCCTTGTACGGACATCTGACTGCTAAGTAGTGATTGTATTTTTCAGCAATAGTGTGCACCCTTAATTTACAGAGAAAAGAAGGTCAGGGAAAATCTGTAGATGGAAAAATCTCCATACAAGTTCTTTGTGCATTTTTCTTTTTTTCTACTTTGCACTTTTTGTTAGAAAATGTTTATTTACTATTTATTCAGGTTTTTTAAGGTATCTAATATTTTGATACTTAATTTCCATTATCTAAATATTCTTAAAAATTAAAAGTTTGTTGTCATTTGGAAGTGTGTAGGCCTTCTTGCATTATTATGCTGTTACATTATGATTATATATTCAGTGGCATAAAATGGTCTTTAAAATGACAATAATATCGCTTATCGCAATTATTTCTGGGGCAATATATCGCACAACAAAAAGTTGTTATCGCGACAGGCCTAGTGACAAAGCACTCTGGCTGGAGTCTGCAGGAGTTTTAAAATAACTTTGCAGATAGTTGTTCACATTAGAAACATTTCCACTGGCGCAGTAATGCAGAGTGGAGCAGATGGTAAGGAACCCGAGGACATCGACACCACTTGAACTCATGATATGAACAGCAAGATCTCCCACACACGCAATGTGTACGTCTGGAGCGCTACAGACGTCATAATGCACCAGAGTGAGTCACTGATTCAACTCACACAGCGCTCAGAGGAATCCTGTTCCTTTAGTTTCAGACGTCACTATATCTGCCTCGTTTATTATGAATCATAACAGCCCTGAAATACCACATAAAGCTTGAACTGAGAAACTGACTCCGCAAAAAAAAGTTTCATTTATCATTCTGACACAGAATATGCTTTACAAGATCACAAAACTTGCACATATGGTAGTTTTTGAGCACTGCTGCTAGTTGTCTCTCAGTGCTCACTTTGCAATTTAGAATAATTATGTTGCACACAGAGGGTGAAGACAATGCCATGACTCAGCACTTTGTTTATAACCTCAGGCTTGAGCTCAAGCGCTTTTCAGTGGCTAACATAAGTAGAGAAACAGATTCAAGGCTCTAGACCATAAATCACTGCTTAAACAAGTCTCCTATCAGTAATGGTGGACGTAGATCATCAGTGACAGAACTAATATACGCTGAAGAGGAGCTGGTTACTCATACTGTCAGAATGTGCTTGCTATGCACCCTACAGTGATTTCAGGCTCTAGAAAGCATCTTTCTTTTCTTCTCAACAGTGTGTGAGTGTAATTGAATGTCTGACTCAGTGGGGATGGAGAGGAGGCGTGAGGATGAAAGTGCAGATGAGAGGAGAGGAAAACATGCTTACTAATGCTTCCTCTCCAGTGCATGAATGATTAGTATGTAAAGTGTCACTGAAGTGGGAGGTGTGTGTTTCTGTGCTCTCAAAGGCAAATGTACGTCAGAATCTACAAATCATGAAATCTTCTGCCCTTACTGCTATTCATCAGAGTTGGTCCTCTGTAGGCATACATTAATTGCTAAGCAAGATTACATTATTAAATTGCATTACATTATTAAACAATACCATAACAACAACAAAACTTTAGTTGAAAATACCAAAATAACTGTAATCAATTGCAGCATCTATAACAATTTTGAATAATGTAATCTACCGATGGCTACACCAAAGCCCCGCCCACCACAAACACGTCACCTGTCAATATAATAAATCAACGGAACAAATCTAGCAGCACCATGGTTTTTTAACAACAACAAAAGTTAAGCTGAAATGACCAAAATCCATTCAAGTGTATGTAACAATTTTAATTAATTTCACAAAGCTATGGCTTAACAATACCAAAAAACCGCTCAGACACGTCACCTGTCAATATAAGTCAACGGAACTAATTTTGCACTATTTTAAATTAACAACAATAACAACAAAACTTTAGCTGAAGTAACCAAAATAACTGAACTACATTAAAGCATCTACAACTATTCCTAATTAACGTAATTTTACAACTCTACCGACGACAAAACGTCACCTGTCAACATAGCAAATGAACGGAACAAATCTATCAGCGCCATAGGTATTTGTACAAGAATGGAAGGCCCCATTCCATTACCATCTACTTACCAGTGTGCAGACTAACTTCATCCTCCACTCCATCCTTCAGTAAATTCATATTGTCGTTCCGTCTAACTTGTTTAGCTCTCTTTACCTGCTCCTAATCCCACGTTATGCGCGCCAACGGTGATACTGAAAGCTAGCCGATTCATTTGAATGTTTTGAATGAAAACGCTGTTGACGCTGCGTCATTTGAATATTCATTCTGATTGGCCAGTTTAATAACGAGAGGCGATTTTACAAACGCGCCAACAGCGTATTAAAGAAAAATATTTTCTACTTTATATGCTTCTGAGGTATACACATTATTAGATACATTAATTAAAACAAAAATTAAATTACTAAATCACTTTCGTTGTTATGTTCATTTTTAAAGGGGTCCTATTATGCTCTTTTACAAAGTCTTGATTTTCACTCTAAGTTTGTCTGCCTTGGGAAAGCTAGCGTGTCTCTGACATAGTGATAACACTCATTACCAGGTCTCGTCCCATTCGTCGATCTTTGTGATATCACAAATCCCGGAAAATGTGCGTTGTAGTCCAAACGAGTCGTTCGTTGTAGTTTTTGAAAAGTGATTTCTGTTAAATAAAATATCTCCTTTTGAATTGGACTTTGAGCTTTGTAACTTTGCAGATCTTTTTTATGCTCAAACAGCAACATTACAGACTAACTAAAGTTGAAAAAGTGAAAAAGCATAATAGGACCCCTTTAAGAGATTTTTTACTTCTGCTGCCTCTATATCTGACAGGTAGTAGTGTTATTTTAAGTGTTGTATTTAAAAGTGTTTACAGCAACTTTAAACAATGTTTTATGAATTAGAAAAAGCTTTGTTGTTCAATATAGGGTTTAAAATATGGGTAGTTGACAAATAAGAATATATATGTAATAGTCATATAATACAAGCCACCTTTTTTGACCATTTTTAATAAATAATCATTTTAATGTTGTATATGAGGTCATAAAAGCTGCATACACAACTCAACGCATCGCATGTATGTTTGTTCTGAACGTTCAGAAAAGATCATTGAACATTATGAAACAATTTGAACTGGAAAAACATTTGCCCTCCTCTCTGCACAATAAGCAACTCCATTCATAATTAAAATCTGTCTTTGCATACTGCCATATTTAAGTACAAATGAGTATAAATAAAAGTTGTCGGTACCAAACTGTGCACAAAGTTGTTTAACATAGAAACAAGACATTTTTCACCAATCATCTGTTTGATTTCTTTGTCTTCCGCTCTGTATTTGTCAGCCTCTCTCTGCCATGCGTGGAGGAGGTGGAGTCCGTCTGCGAAGAGACCTGCGGGATTCAGTGCCCTACGAGGCCCAGATGATGTCTTACCCCGCTGCTGACTTCAGGAGGGGAAGCAATGATCTGTACTACCAGCCAGAGGTCTTGAGAGCTCGAGGTCTTGGACAAGCCCTCCAGCGACTGGTGGAGAACGATCAGAGGCGGGAACAGGAAGCAGATTATCTGGCGTCGATGCTGCGGCTCCTGAACGAGGCACAGAATAACGGACAGGGCAAACCTGAGGAAGAGGAGGAGGAGGAGGGTGATTTCCAGGGCCCGTACCCTCCGGACTACGATGAGACCGAGCAGGCCGTGAGCATGGCCAAGCCCCAGGCTTCATGGCAGGGCCTTCTGGATCCTCAGCTTACTCAGGCTCTACTCAACCGCTACAAGCAGGAGAGACTGATGCAGACTGGACTCGCTCCGAACACCAACAGGATTCCTGAGAGAGAGCAGGACAAAGACCAAGAGATGCTCAGGTAATGAAAACATGTCGTTCGCAAAGAGAACAGTACCTCAGATTCAGGGTTATAATAACAAAAAACTATTAAAAACATTTGAATTGAATTATTTTTTTACAGTCTAGGATTGAAATAAAGCTAACTGAAATAAGCTAAAACACTAAAAGTAATAACTGTAAATAAATAAAAACTACAACTGAACTAACCCTAACTGAAACCCAAATAGAAAAGCACAAAAACAAAATGACAAAATATTGTACAAAAGCTAATCAAAAATTCTTAATAAAAATATAAATATTAGATTAAAAACTTAAACTAAGATTAGAAATAATAAAAATGACAAATGCATAACAAAATTACAACGAATACTAATACTGAAATTAAAATGAAAATTGAAAATGAAGAAATCAAAGCGCATTCAAAATATTAATAATACCCTAATATAAATATTAGATGAAAAACTATTAGAACTAAATAGTAATATAGTTCAAACAAACACTAATAAAAAAGACAAATACACAAATAAATGTATTAGATGGAAAACCTAAACTATAAAAAAAAACAAATGAGAAAAGCACATAAAATTGCTAAAAAGGTCATTTAAAATATTAATAAAAATTAGAAAAAAATATAAATACTACTACAATGACACTGTTCCAAAAAATGCAGTTTATTTTTAAAAAAAAACATTAAGACAACCTTTTTTGGGGCAATAGCATATGAATTGTGCCATGTTAATTTCAAGTTGTCTTTAAGCAAACATACTTCAATTTTTATGTATTATTAAAGGTACCTTGTTGAGAAGATCCTCTCCAGCTTGGCATCGGGTGGCAATCAGGGAGGCCCTTCAAACCAGCGTGCTAAACGGGACCTGAGCATTGTGGCCAACATGGAGCAATCTGGAGGACCCGCCCTAAAACGCTCCCGCCGGTCCCTGGACTCCGCCCCTGGCCCCTCCCCCCAGGTCGAGGCATCGCTACTGAGGGTGAAACGGCTCGATGGCGACGTGGACGACGACGAGGTCGCAGGGCAGAGCAACAGAACACCACACGTCGGCCTGCAGAGAATGAAGCGCATAGACACTGACCTGCCGCCCCCCAAAAAACACAGCCGCAAGCGCAGAGCCCTGACCTACGACCCCGCTCTGATCGCACAGCACATCCTGCAGTACCTGCCAGCCTAAAGAGTACGAGAAAGTGAGAGGAATAACAAGGAAACGTTTGGGGGAAAATAGAGGGAAATCTAGACAGACAGAGGGACTGCAACATTTCACTTGCTTACAGATACGCCAGCGCTCATTGTCATCTGCCTAAATCTAATCAAGGCCTGCTTGCCGAGGTACTTTGATATGATGTTGCTCTGTTTCAATGTTATACTATAATAAATCCCACACACATAACAGCTTATTGAATATGCTTTTTGTTTATCTTCTTTCTGGCTACATTATACAATATGGAAGGCCTTTTCTGCCAAAAAATTATAAAGGTAATTGCAACTTTTTTTCTCAAAATTTTGAGATCATATCTCACACTTTTTTTCTCGGATTTATGAATTTATATCAAAAAATTTTGCCTTTTTTCTCAGATTTCTGACTTCACATCTCATAATTCTGAGTTTTTGTGTCAAATTCTGCCTTTTTTCTCAGATTTCAGAATTGTCAGAATTGCAGGATATAAACTTCCAATTCTGGCCTTCTCGCAATTATGTTTTTATCTCACGATTCTGACTTTTTTTTTTCTTTCTTAGAATTGTGAGACATAAACTCAGAACTGTGAGGTATAAACTCGCAAATTTATATCTCCCAATTCTGACTTTTTTCTCTGATTTCTGAGTTTACATTTTGCAATTCTGACTTTTTTTTCTGAGAATTGCTATCAAGTCAGAACTGTGAGATCGTAAGTCTCAGTTACCTTTTTAATTTTTTTATTCCATAGTACTACAGGCATGAAATTACCTTACCGACATGGAAATTAGCATCAGTTACTGGCTTGCACAAGTAGCTCATCGCTGTTTTTGTCAGAATCAACAGGATCAAGGTCACACTAATCTTTATTACAGACTGAGATGGTTTTAAATGACGCTTCACTATAAATAAGATCTGTTGAAATGCTGTTGATAACTCACTTTGTCCTTAAAAACAAAACCACAGCTTGACCAGCATTTAGGTGATGTTTTGTCACCCAGAATCCCTGAGTTTCTCAACAGATGAAAGCAGCATGACTGTGCTTCTACAGAGATCCAAATATATCCGAGCTTTGCTACAGCTGTCAGTGGGTTTGGAGACACTCTGTTTCATATTGTGAGCAAAGCAGCAGTAACTATAACAGCAGGCTCACTCTGTGCTCTCAGTATTTCTGCTGTGTAACTGAATGGCAGCTCTATATGCAAAATAAAGTGATTTCTGGGATGCTATATTGATTTTTTCATGTGATAGCCATAGATTAAATAGTTTTCAGGAGTAGGCCATTGATAATTATAAACATTATATAATCTAATTTACTTAAACTATACTGTTCAAAAGTTTGGGGTCAGAAATTGGTATTTTTATTTACATTTATTCATTCGACAAGCTTTTATTCAGCAGGAATGCATTAAATTGATCAAAAGTGAGAGTAAAGTCATTTAGAATGTTACAAAAGATATCTATTTCAAATAAATTATTTTGAATATTCTATTCATCAGAGAATCCTGAATAAATGTCTCATGGTTTTCACAAAGTATATACACAAAATAAGAGCTGTTTTAAATTGTAATAACATTCCACAATATTAATATTACTAATTTACTGTAGTGTTATGAAATAAATGCCTTGAGCAAAATAGACTTCTATCAACATTAAAAAAATCTTAGACGCCAACATTTTGAACAGAAACATTTAGATCCAAATGGCAATGAATCTAAACCGAACATCTCAAACTGCTTAAATAATTTATATCAGTCTATTTCACTTACTGTGTGAAACAGGCCTTATATGTTATATTTACAGATTTGTGAATCAGATCAGTTGATTTTTTGACATTGCTTTTTTTTTATTTTCTTTCTTACAAATGATCGAGAAAAAAAAATGATTGAAATCTCTTTATTGCTAAGATATCTGGTACAAGTTTAAACCGCACAGCATCAGATCAGCCTGTCTAAATGTCAAACCTGCTCTAAGTGAGTTTCCTGTCCTCTCTTTCTCTGATTGGCTGTCTAAAGTGGTGTACCATCTTCTTAGTGTCATATGCATCCTATTCAAGCTTGATGAAGTGTATTTTGTCCCTTGACTTGGCTTCGAAACATTCTGTCTGATACTAATCACTGTCCCAACTTCTTGCCTTCTGGGTTTGTAATCTGACAATTATGAATTTGTGAAGGAAATCGTGGTTCTTAGTATATTTAAATGCTTTTCGATATTTGTGCAGTTATAAAATCTTGTACAAAAATACATATCTCTGCACTGCGAGTTTTGTCAAACAACAAAAATCACTGTAAGTGCTAATAAAGTGTATGTGAACACCAATATTTTGTTTAGAACTTTGCATTGCTTTTACAGTGGAAGCGGGTTAGAAATGACCTCACATTTAACATTTAATGCAACAGCTTGATCAAATCATAGCCTATTAGAATTGCATCTAAACATCTAAGACAATGGCTGAAGACAATTACAAATACAACAGTGGCATGCAGATTTGATGTTGGCATGAAGCGGAAGTTGCAATCAACTTTATTACCGTATTGTAAAGTATATCCATGTGAAAAGAGAAAAGAGGCAGATCTTAAAGGAATAGTTCACCCAGAATTTAAAATTTGCCCAAAATGTGTTCATCCTCAGGCCATCCAAGATGTAGATGAGTTTGTTCCTTCATCAGAACAGATTTGGAGAAATGTAGCATTGCATCACTTGCTCACCAGTGGATCCTCTGCAGTGAATGGGTGCCGTCAGAACGAGAGTCCAAACAGCTGATAAAAACATCACAGTAATCCACAAGCAGTCCACATGAATCCAGTGCATCAATTAACATCTTGTGAAGTAAAAAGCAGTGAGTGTCTGTAGAAAACGTTAAGGCATTTTAACTTTAAAATGTCGCTTCTGGCCAAAATACCAGTCCATAATCCATAATAATGCTTCCTTCTGTCAAAAAGTCCATCTCCAACAAAATATTTGTTTAGAACGGTTTTCGCTTGTAAACGCTGCTTGATCTGTGCATATTTCTCTCCTGATTCAGACGAGACGACTTTTTCACTTAAAAAAGCAATATTATGGATGGAGGGCTCAGATTTTAGCCATGGTTAAAAACATCTCAGTAATGGATTTGTTTCTTACAAACACTCAGCTTTTCGCTTCACAAGATGTTAACTGATGGACTGGAGTGGTGTGGATTACTTGTGGTGTTTTTATCAACTGTTTGGACTCTCATTCTGACGGCACCCATTCACTGCAGAGCATCCATTTGTGAGCAAGTGATGTTGAAGAAACAATCTCATTTAGATCTTGGATAAGAAAATAAATAGGCAAATTTTGATTTCATGCCAACTATAAATATGAACAATTATTTGCTACTTTTAGCCTAAAGATGATCAAATCAGTAAATCCACATGTTTAAGACTTTACTGACAAAGAAAACAACAGTATTATAATGCTGAATATCTACCTACATTTCACTCCAGTCCTCATCTTAAATTCATGCACAAAAACATCCAGAACACAGAATCAAACATCACAGTTAATCCTCTAAACATCCTTTAACTGAAAAGCACATTGATGTGATCTGTGTGTGCATCGCAGCAGGTCACAGAGACCTCGACTGTACCTCCACTTGGAAATGCACTAAAGAAAATGGCCTTTCCTCTTCTCTATTTAGAGCCGCCATTACAAGATCAGAGTAATGTTCCTCCGCCAGGGGAGAAAGGACTCGGATACTGTTGCCAGGTCACGGTTTCTATGCAGACCGGTTATGTAAGCAGAATTCACAGGATGATGACATCATGCTGAGGGGGAAGAGATCAGCGTCTCTTCACACGTTTTATGTCATCATTATTTGTCGAAAGAGAAGTGCACAAACGACGTGATGAAACAGCCACCTGAGAGGGTGAGAAAGAACAGTGAGATGCAGAGGATGCTAGTGGCAGAAAAACAATCCCCAGAGAAACCAGACTACTGTTTTACCAGCAGTTTCTGACTGGTGAGAACAGCTCAGGCCTGTTTTATGCTGTCAGTAACAAGCCAGTCACTGAGAAGAGAGGAGAAAACAACATTACATGATTCAAATATCTGTGTGGAGAGAATAACATAAAAATGAGTGTAATTAATATTATACTAAATTAAGAAAGATAATCAAGCAAGCAGTACAGCTTCACTCAGTACCACAATATCACAAATTAATTATATATATATGTATGTAATAAAAGACTATTAATTAGCCAACATTTATTGTTGACAAAATATTAATATATATTATTTATCAATAAAGTGTTTTTAATATCTTTTATATGCTATTATAATAATCATTTTGAATTAGCTTTTATTTTTTACTTTCAGCTTTAATTTTAGTTTAAGTTTTAATATTTTTGTTAATATTAGATAGTTTTTATAAATATTTCTGTATAGATTTCATTTATTTTATTTCAGTTTAGTTTTAGTCATTTTTATTAAATTAAGAAAAAGAATCAAGCAAGCAGATTTAAGAGTAAAATATTTTGTTTGTAAATTTTTATTACAAAATATTAATTTGCGAACATTTATTATATTACAGTATTTGTCAATATAAAACCAGTGTTATTTTAATATCATATGATTATCATAATATACAATCATAATATCTATTAATATTTTGAATTAGCTTTTATTTTCATACTTTCAGTTTTCATCTTAATTTTAAAGTTGGTAATATTGGTTGTTTTTAATATTTCTATTTAGCTTTAATTATTTTTTATTTTAGTTTATTTTTTTATTTTTTTATTTATCATTTGTTGCCAAGGTGACATTACGGTTTTCGCTTGTAAACGCTGCTTGATCTGTGCATATTTCTCTCCTGATTCAGACGAGACGACTTTTTCACTTAAAAAAGCAATATTATGGATGGAGGGCTCAGATTTTAGCCATGGTTAAAAACATCTCAGTAATGGATTTGTTTCTTACAAACACTCAGCTTTTCGCTTCACAAGATGTTAACTGATGGACTGGAGTGGTGTGGATTACTTGTGGTGTTTTTATCAACTGTTTGGACTCTCATTCTGACGGCACCCATTCACTGCAGAGCATCCATTTGTGAGCAAGTGATGTTGAAGAAACAATCTCATTTAGATCTTGGATAAGAAAATAAATAGGCAAATTTTGATTTCATGCCAACTATAAATATGAACAATTATTTGCTACTTTTAGCCTAAAGATGATCAAATCAGTAAATCCACATGTTTAAGACTTTACTGACAAAGAAAACAACAGTATTATAATGCTGAATATCTACCTACATTTCACTCCAGTCCTCATCTTAAATTCATGCACAAAAACATCCAGAACACAGAATCAAACATCACAGTTAATCCACTAAACATCCTTTAACTGAAAAGCACATTGATGTGATCTGTGTGTGCATCGCAGCAGGTCACAGAGACCTCGACTGTACCTCCACTTGGAAATGCACTAAAGAAAATGGCCTTTCCTCTTCTCTATTTAGAGCCGCCATTACAAGATCAGAGTAATGTTCCTCCGCCAGGGGAGAAAGGACTCGGATACTGTTGCCAGGTGACGGTTTCTATGCAGACCGGTTATGTAAGCAGAATTCACAGGATGATGACATCATGCTGAGGGGGAAGAGATCAGCGTCTCTTCACACGTTTTATGTCATCATTATTTGTCGAAAGAGAAGTGCACAAACGACGTGATGAAACAGCCACCTGAGAGGGTGAGAAAGAACAGTGAGATGCAGAGGATGCTAGTGGCAGAAAAACAATCCCCAGAGAAACCAGACTACTGTTTTACCAGCAGTTTCTGACTGGTGAGAACAGCTCAGGCCTGTTTTATGCTGTCAGTAACAAGCCAGTCACTGAGAAGAGAGGAGAAAACAACATTACATGATTCAAATATCTGTGTGGAGAGAATAACATAAAAATGAGTGTAATTAATATTATACTAAATTAAGAAAGATAATCAAGCAAGCAGTACAGCTTCACTCAGTACCACAATATCACAAATTAATTATATATATATGTATGTAATAAAAGACTATTAATTAGCCAACATTTATTGTTGACAAAATATTAATATATATTATTTATCAATAAAGTGTTTTTAATATCTTTTATATGCTATTATAATAATCATTTTGAATTAGCTTTTATTTTTTACTTTCAGCTTTAATTTTAGTTTAAGTTTTAATATTTTTGTTAATATTAGATAGTTTTTATAAATATTTCTGTATAGATTTCATTTATTTTATTTCAGTTTAGTTTTAGTCATTTTTATTAAATTAAGAAAAAGAATCAAGCAAGCAGATTTAAGAGTAAAATATTTTGTTTGTAAATTTTTATTACAAAATATTAATTTGCGAACATTTATTATATTACAGTATTTGTCAATATAAAACCAGTGTTATTTTAATATCATATGATTATCATAATATACAATCATAATATCTATTAATATTTTGAATTAGCTTTTATTTTCATACTTTCAGTTTTCATCTTAATTTTAAAGTTGGTAATATTGGTTGTTTTTAATATTTCTATTTAGCTTTAATTATTTTTTATTTTAGTTTATTTTTTTATTTTTTTATTTATCATTTGTTGCCAAGGTGACATTTTTTTTTTCATTTTTGTACATTTTTACATTTACTCAGGCCTGTTTTATGCTGTCAGTAACAAGCCAGTCACTGAGAAGAGAGGAGAAAACAACATTACATGATTCAAATATCTGTGTGGAGAGAATAACATAAAAATGAGTGTAATTAATATTATACTAAATTAAGAAAGATAATCAAGCAAGCAGTACAGCTTCACTCAGTACCACAATATCACAAATTAATTATATATATATGTATGTAATAAAAGACTATTAATTAGCCAACATTTATTGTTGACAAAATATTAATATATATTATTTATCAATAAAGTGTTTTTAATATCTTTTATATGCTATTATAATAATCATTTTGAATTAGCTTTTATTTTTTACTTTCAGCTTTAATTTTAGTTTAAGTTTTAATATTTTTGTTAATATTAGATAGTTTTTATAAATATTTCTGTATAGATTTCATTTATTTTATTTCAGTTTAGTTTTAGTCATTTTTATTAAATTAAGAAAAAGAATCAAGCAAGCAGATTTAAGAGTAAAATATTTTGTTTGTAAATTTTTATTACAAAATATTAATTTGCGAACATTTATTATATTACAGTATTTGTCAATATAAAACCAGTGTTATTTTAATATCATATGATTATCATAATATACAATCATAATATCTATTAATATTTTGAATTAGCTTTTATTTTCATACTTTCAGTTTTCATCTTAATTTTAAAGTTGGTAATATTGGTTGTTTTTAATATTTCTATTTAGCTTTAATTATTTTTTATTTTAGTTTATTTTATATTTTTTTTATTTATCATTTGTTGCCAAGGTGACATTTTTTTTTCATTTTTGTACATTTTTACATTTACAAAAATTTACATTTTTCATCTAATATTTATATTTTATTTTATTTCAGCTTTATTTCAAATTTACAAAAAAAATATTTTTTGCATTTTCAGATTTATTTATCAATAACACCACTGTATAAAACACATTTCCATTTAATATGTTAAACATAAACATGTTTGTATATTTATTGTAAAACTATTTTCTGTATCATTTGAGAGAAAAACAAATATGGTTCAGTTTCAAAATCATTAACTAACTAAACTCTACTCTCTTAAAACAGGCAGTAAAACATTCATTGATTTTAAAGATTTTAGCAAGAATAAGTGCAGCATTTACCATCACCATCCTTGGTGTCTTCTGGCAGCAGGGCATCTTGGCGATTCCCCAAAACAAAAGCCAGCGTGGCCAGTATGCCGGCGTCCAGCACCCCCAGCATGGCCAGTATGTACGCCCAGTGCACAGAGCAGTTCCCCGGGGAGAAACTACTCACACGCTCCCCACACAACGCCCGCATCTCAGCACACGCCCAGGAGTCTGGGAACAACACACACGCCAGCGCCAAACAGAAGCCTGCGCCACAAACACACACATACCGTTAGGAGTAATGTACTGTCTAACATATTTAGTTTGGATTTCAGGTCATGAAAAGCTCATTTTCATGAGAAGAGATTCTCAACATACTACAGCTTTGCAGAGAAATGTTTCTTGAGCACAAATCAGCATATCAGAATGATTTCTGAAGGATCATGTGACAACGAAGAACGGAGTAATGATGCTGAAAATTCAGCTTTGATCACAGGAATATATTACATTTTAAAATATTTTCAAATAGAAAACAGTTCTTTCAAATTCAAAAAATATTTCACAATAATACCGTTTAAATACTGTATTTTTGATTAAATAAATGCAGCTTTAGTGAGAGATCAGTTCTCACCTGCTGTGAGCTGCAGCCAAGCACAGATCTTATAGACGGTTGCTGCGCTGCAGAATCTGAGCAGACACATGCAGCCCACGCTGGCCCACACCATGGTGAGAGACATGCAGACCAGCACAGCGGGAGACTGGAAGGCAGGGAGTGGGGTTAGGGTGTGAAGAGACCCCCGGCATTCTGGGACGGGCCAATCCGTCTCCATGCAGACCTCAAAGAGGCCCAGCGTCCCGGTCGGAGGAGCCGGACCCCCTCCTCGGTAGTGCAGCTCTCGTGTGCCCACCCATGACGGCTGGATGAGAATGACCACCTCGATCACAGCAAAGCAGAGCGTGCTAACGGCCCACAGCATGCCCACCGCCCGTGTGCTCCGGATGAACTCAGTCTGATACAGACGGGCCACCTCAGACGAGTGATGCTGCATGCTGGAGACAGTCAGCACAAAGATCATATTAGTATCATTGAGATACCTTTACATTTTTATGTTTTCTGTTTTCATTTTAATTTTAAAGTTTTTTATTATTTTTTATGTCTATATAGTTAGTCGGTTTATATAGTCTGTTTAGTTATTTTAGTACAAAGGCAACTTAACTGAAAATGAGAAAAAAAAAAAAAAGTTGAAATAAAAGAAATAAAATAAGTTTAATTTTATTTCTAATCTTATTTCTGTAAAATTTTTCATGCAACTAAAAATTATATTTAATGGTTTTAGATTCATTAGTTATTTTAGTACAAAGGCAACTTAACTGAAAATGAGAAAAAAAAAAAAAGTTGAAATAAAAGAAATAAAATAAGTTTTTTTTTATTTAATTTTATTTCTAATCTTATTTCTGTAACATTTTTCATGCAACTAAAAATTATATTTAATGGTTTTAGATTCAGTTAATTATAAAACCCTGTTTCAAACAACACTGGACAACATTTTTGCTTTTATTTATTTATGGTACTAAAATTCATGTTACATAGTTTTTATGGTAACACTTACAATAAGGTTAGTTAATGTTAACACACTAACTAAAATGATAATAAAATTCATCTGTTGCCAAGGTATTATAGTAAACTAAATTAATTAACAAAAATTGTTACTTTAAATAAAATATAAAAAAAATACCACTTGTTTTATTTCAGCTAGTTGCCAAGGCAACATTTCTTATTTTGATATTTTGAACTATATACTATAATAATTTAAAATGTAAATTTAAAACAAAAATAATAACTAATATAAACTACATATGTATATTAAAAAATGTACAAAAATGACAAATTATATAATAAAATATAATATAAATGACAAAAAAATTACAAAAACTAAAATGAAAGCAGAAAATAAAAAAATAATATTAACTAATTTGAACAATTAATAAAAACCATTAAAATAAAACTATTATTAGTTAGTAAAAATACAACTGTTACTTTATGTCATCTCAGGCCTATTAAATAATATTAACAGATACAATTTTGATCTTAATAGTATATTAGATGTTAACATTTTTTAATTCTTTAGAATTGTTAATTGATGTTAACTAATTAACTAATGTTAACAAATGCAACCTTATTACGAGGTGTTACTGTTTTATATGGTACTTTAGGGTAATATCATCTGTACTTTTTTGTGCTTCACATTTATTTACATTATACCTTAAAGAATACCATGCTATTACAATGAAGCATGTCCTTAAAAAAAACATGATATTACCATGGAAAAATGCTAATACCATGGTCATTTTTAACACAAAAACATCCAAACGCATTTCAAACTATAAAAAGGGACATAATGAACAGCTGAGAGAGCTGATGCCTACAGGACAATGACCTGAAAACCTGATCTCAACCTGGTGAACGATGTCAAGAGATGGATGAAGGGAGAATCACCTCTCTGCTCTGGCTGATTCCAGGTCTCTTCCTCCCACCACAGGATCTGGGTGACAAAAATCTCATTAAAAATGAATGGCTTAAGAGCAGCATCATGTAAAAATGTAGGAGTGAGTGACAGAGAGAAATTGACCTGAATGGAGGGATTCTTCTCCTCCTCTTCCTCCCGGTGGGATCACGGCAGGCTGTGCAACATTAAAAACAGGCCCACGCCGCTTGCAACAATCTTCCTCGCACATATGACAGACACACACACGCACACTCGCACACACACGCGCACACACACACACACGCACGCACACAGACACACACACACACACACACACACAGACACACACGCACACTCGCACACACACACACACACGCACACACGCACGCAGCAATGTAATCCAATGATGCACAATGAGAAAATGAAATTATCTGTCAATCCCTGTGGGGGGGAAGAGAGTTACAGCTCATCAATCCTAAAAGCGTTATATTCCGTACAGAGTAAAGAGGAATTGAGAGAATAATACATGGAGCAGAAGTGCTGCATTTCAGATGAGCACAAGATAAGACGCAGCAGTCGAATAAACATGAATGGTGGAAGGAAGAAGCTCGTCTGTGCATCATTTAGCAGGTTCACTCGCGTGATCGCTCAGAGGACATGAACATTAATGCTTGCAAAAGAACAGAAACCAAAGGATTCATCAGTGGCGTGCGGTGGTGTTTTAAAAAGAGGAGGCAGTTTTATATATAAATATATATTTATATATAAATATTACATAAACAAT